GATTCATCGTGGTTGTTTAAATTGTTTTTTAAACTCTAAACTTCAAGATTTAATACACCATAACGCTAATGCTGCTACCACTTAGAAAATTATTTCTCAACGGCCTAACAAGTTGGTAGCAGTGAATATCTAATAAATATTCGTTCAAAATGTAACTACAGCTATTTTGTATTTTGAACAACTACGCAGTGGCGACTTAAAAAAATCAAACTATTATTAGCCAACTCACAAATAAACTGTTAAGAAAAACTTTGACTACCAGTTTCATATTTTTTCCTCTGATTGTCGCAATTCAGTAAATTCTTTTATGATTCCACTTTATCGAAAGTTTTAATTTACTACTTTCCGCTCGAGCGTATTTGCACTTTTGACAATGCTATAAATTTGCTATCAAGACAAGTGAGGTATTGGTACCTGAGTATTTTTTACGCAAAATAACACGTTCTAAAATTGAATTTGTTAAAAGTCACGCATCTCCGAATATTGAATATAGAGCTTTAAAAACTTCGTTAAAATTCAAAAAAGAATTTAGTTAAATTAAACTTAATGTATTATTGTTATAAACGAATTATAAATTAATTATTAGATTAACTTGCTTTAAGTAAAATGTTAAAAAATTAATCAAATTAAGATTCTTAATAAAATAAATAAGATGTAATTAAACTGATAAATTATTCATCAAAATGCTCTTCAACAATTATACTTACGTCCCAAAACTCCCAATTGGGGATCTGAAAAAAAATCATTAATACATCATAATATCATTTAATATATAATAAATATTATGTTCAGAAATTAAGAAATGAATATTTATAATTTAGAATTTCTTACCAGCCATTGCGGAACCTACGATAAAAAGAAAATTACCGGTTACACATAATAAAGAAAAAGCTTATTCTATGTTTTAATAAAATTCACCTATGTATAATAAAATTCACCTATGTATAATAAAATTCGCCAAGTATCTCAAAAGAATTCACATTAAGCGTTTATTTAACTCCTTGTTCCCTAAAACATATATGATTCAATAAAATATCAGGAATCGATACTAAGTTTGTTGTTTAATTAAAGTCGTTTTGTCTGGACTCGTTTTGCAGACAATAATTTTAATTTCATCTTTTATAATTGAACCCCGTTTCTAATACAAATAAACTAAAAACTACAAGGAGTTATTGATAATCTTCCCAGTAAAATGAATTCTTTAAAAGAGTGTTGAAACAAATTCGTACAATTTGTTATCTAACGTAAATCTCTCAAGTAAAATAAATAGTAAACAATTTGTTACTTTATCTTTAAAAATTATTTGATACTTATTTTTATCCTTCGTTGAAAGGCAGATCCAATTTTTGAGTATTCTTCCTCATTTTATTTTGAAAATTATTTCTGATTTCCATATGAAGACAAATGGCAGTATAGTAATTTCTGTAGCTGTAACTTTTGAAAAACGCTTACATTAGTGCTACTGTCTTCTTGAGATACCTAATTAGCGAATAGTTTCTTTCGGTGTAAAATCTAAAAGAATAATGCAAAAAAAATTTTTTAATTAATCATGCCAAAAGAAGACGATTCCAGTTTTATCAGCGTAAAATGCAGTAATACTGTTAAATTCCTGTATGTACATAGGAAAGTCGTAGATGAACAAAGTAAATAGTATGGGTCCAAGGATTATTTCTTGAGCCCCTGATCTGTCCAATTATCTTCTGATCTGTTCCATTGACAAAGACGTTTCATTTGTGAAAGTTTCAGCCGATAGCATCATCTACCTCTTCAGATTTTATAGTGGACAAAAATCCCTTGATTTTAGAAAAACCACGATTTCTTCAAACTTTACCTCCTGGTTAACAGGGTTCGAATCCCAGAGATGGTTGGTCGAGACGAATTTGGCACCCGTCTCGCACCAAACACGGTGCTTACGTAAAATATCATCAGTAGTAGACGGATTATGGGTTAGAGTCTCCTTGCCATCGGCCAGCCGCTGGAGGTTCTCATTGTTTTCCTCTCCATGTAACGCAAATGAGGGTTAGTTCCATCAAAAAGTCCTCTATGAAAGCAGATTTTTCTCAATACTTGATTCAGGAGTTCCCTTGCCTTCTGGATTGGGTTCAAAATTACAGTGCTACGGAGTTGAAGATTAGTTGTCGTAAACCCAAAAATTGGATCGTCTGTTCAACATAAGTTATTACAAAAACTTTACTTTCTGGGGGAGGGATCTAAAAAAATTTTTTTTGGGCTGTAAATTTCAGAATATTAGTTTCATGGCGCCGGTTTAGAGATGCCGTCATAGAAATTCGAACTTATGTTGCTTATGACCATCCTAGTACTCACCAGGTTATGTTCTTTTCTTAAAAAATTAGTAACTCTATTCAATTGTTTTTTCTTCGACGGTGCTTATTTAATGTATACATCAGGTCTTGAAGGAGATATAACTTCTGGGTGATTGTTAGCATAGTAGTAAAAAATAAACTGGTTGTTAATATATTTCTTTTAAAATATTATCTGCTAATGTGAGAATATTGGTAATTTTCGAAAGTAGTAAAATTTATGAAGTTATTGTTTACTATAAGAGCTGACCAGGTGGCCGAGTGGTTAGCGTGCCTGACGGCGGAGCCGATGGTTGCGGGTTCGAATCCCGCTCAGAGCATGGATGTTTCTTTCTCTCTCTGTGCGTTCTATGTCCTTTGTGTGTGTGATTGTGTGAATGTGACCCACCCTATAAAGGGGTTTGTGGTTGTGTGACGTGAGCGACGCTGCTCCACCGCCTTGGCCTCGCCACAGGTGCCCCCTGGGTAACGAGAAGAGAGTAGCAGTTCTGGCATTCCTGAGACCAATGGGTCAATGTCCCAAGTGCCCGCCATTGAAAAAAACAATTATTATAAGAAATTGAAGAATTTTTTTATAACTAGGTACATTATCTATTTTATGAATTCAGCTTTTTTTATAAATAACTGGTACATACTGATTAAATTAATGCATTTTACATTGACAGTATAATACTAGATATAATCTTTTAAAAGAATGAACTTACCCAATATTGCCAAAAGGGCAAATACAACAAGGACAATGCAAAGTTTAGAATTCATCTTGCTAATATCGTTACTATTGGAACAAGTGTGTTTTTTTCGAGTAAAAATCTGCCTATTTATACTGAAACTTTTAAAAGAAGAATAATAAAACCTAATTGATTTTTATACGTTAATTATTCTAATATTCTTTTATTATGTTAGCGTATTTTTTTATTGTCAGCTGTAAAAAAATACGCTATGATTCTACATCAATGCTAAAAGCATAAAAAAAAATTATCTACTATTGTATATTTGTAAAAAAAAAATTTTTATTTTATGCTGGTATTAAAAGCACGTAATGACTAATCGAAAACATATAATTAAATCTAGAACAATTCTGTAACAGTAGGAATTTATTCATTTTTTATTACAATATAAAAAATAATTAAACATTTAGACGTTCCCAGGAATTAGAATTTTTATGTTCTCTTTTATCTATAATATCTTAGTCATATGAAATAAATCTCAAATCTAAGATTTGTTATTTGTTAAAACTTTATTTCCTTTTTTAAAAACGTAAAACTAATTTGAAGTTTGGGCTTCAGATTAAAAAATAAACAAAAACTGAGGAATTATACTCTAATTAAACAAAACTACAATGTATTTTTTATTATAATTAATTTATTATAATTATTTTATTATAATTATTTTATTATAATTCAATATTCAATTTATTATAATTTCTTCAATGTATGGCGAAATCGGTTGGTAGTATATTTTTTAAGGGATTTTTTTTCCAAAACAATACGTATTTTCAAGAGATAGTATATATTGTTTAAAACTAGGTAGCCAACCCTCATAATGTAGGATTGTTCCTCAATCACAATTCAAATTTGCTTTGTTCGCTAATGGATTTTAGTCTAGCTTTGTATACATGTTACACTCTTTTTACCCCCATAATTCGGACAGTATTGTAGAATTTGTAACCTTTCATAGCTGGACTTTTCAGAATGTCGTTTTTTTTTTTAACTAACGACAATAAGGGTATTGTTGTAGGTATAGGGGCATTGTTGTCAATATTTAGCAACAATCTAACCTTATTAAATTTTTTGAAACTCTTTTTAGTGAAGTGTAACGATAAAAGTATCAATTGTTAGCAATTTTTGTTCTCAATTCCCTACTTTTCCGACAAATCATTGCCATAAATAATTTCCCTTTTCAAACTGCAAAAACTAGCTTAAAGCATTCCTAATTATGAAAAACTTCTTCAGAACTGTCTTATCCAGATTGTAAGTATATATATGTATATATATATATGTATATATATATATGTATATATATATATATATATATATATATATATATATATANAACATAAACAAAGCAAACACGGGGTTTCAGATAGCTTTGTGGTCTTTGAACTAGTAAAAAATAAGTGAATGTGCAGTATAAGTTGAAACAGAACAGTCTACAGTTTTATTTGTAACAATAGCTAATGCTAAAGTCATGCGAGAAAATCATTTTCCGAACATTTCTGCCTAACGGAATAATTAAAATTTGCAAACGAATTTTAGTATCAGTAGTATATAGGGGGGGCTACAGGACACACCTAAATCACATCATTTACCATCATTTTAAACACTTTTTGCCAATTTTAACATCAAAAAATGACATAAAATCTTTAAAAATAACAACTTTTGAAAATCAAAAACACTAAGTATTTTCTATTGAAAAACCTCTTATTTTAGGGTAAAAAACACTAAAAACTGCTTATTTACAATCATTTTATACACTTTTTTCAATTTTAACATCAAAAAACAACATAAAATCATTAAAAATAATAACTTTTGAAAATCAAAAACAATAAAAATGTCTGTTTAGAATTAAAAAATAAGCATTGAAAGATGAAAAAATCATTGGATTAACGCCAATACGTATGTTTTTTAAAAATAAAAATTATAAAATATAAAGATAATATAAAATTAATTTGTCAAGGGTTCATAAAATGGTCCTTTTATATTTTTACAAATATCTGTTAAAAGTAAACAAGCTATTTTTTCAAAATTTAATTTATAAAATGAACTGGATAAAGTATGACCTTTATGTTCTATTAAGAGACAAAAATTCATTTTATCTTTAAATTCTGATATGAAGTCTTCATCAAATTCTTGTTTCATAATCATATAATCCCAGTATACTTCATTTTGTAATTTTCTAGTTAAATCCAGTGATAATATTTGATATTTAGATACAATATGCATAATCAATTTATCATGGTATGTTTCAATAAATTCTAAATCTAATTTTTGAAATCTAGATATTTCATACCAACTTACTTTATCTAAATGACTTTTAATGAAATCAGAAGACAAAGTTTGATATCTGCAAATTTTTTCCCAATTTACATTAAGGGAATGTTTGTCGATAAATTCTTCCTCTAATTTTTGATGTTGAGAAATTTTTTCCCAGTCTACATCTGATGAATATCTACAAAATCTTCCTCTAATTTTTGAAAATGAGAAATAGTAGGCCAATCATCAGGTTCTGCAAATTCTTCAATTAAAACTTCAGATAATTCGGAATATTGAAATACATAATTCCATATTAAATGATCAGATACACTTCTAATTACCTGTTCAGAAAGTTTATTCTTTGAAAATTCGTACCAATTAATTTCAGCCTATTATTTAGATTTAAAATTTAATTAACAATGAAAACCCAATTAGGTTCAACCTTAGAATTTGTAACCCTAAAAATGATTTTTTTGTTAGATTTATAGGAATTTAAAATAGATTCAATGAATACCCCTTCTCTCTGAAGAAACATGATAAATGCCATATCTTCTTTAATTCCTAAATTATTTTTTTCAATTAGAGTTAACACAATATTAGCTGTTCCAATGATATGATCTGTATCATTTTGAAAACAAATTACTAACATATTATAATTCCTATCTGGTTTCAGCCTTCTAATATCCAAAACTGCGTCATAAGTAGGTATTGTTTGATAAACTAATCTATTAGGTATTTTATCATCTGCATATTTTTTATTAACAGCATCATTATTATTTTGAGGATATCCAACATTAGAAATTATTTTATTTTTAGCATCATAATTGATTAAACTTGTTTCTTTCAATTGTAATATTTTATCATTGACATAATTATTAGTTGCAATCATGTTATCATTTATTTTTATATTGTTTTCACATTTTATATTACAAGTTACATCGATATTAATTTTATTAAATAAATTTAAATTTTTATGAACTTCAGCATATTCAGATTTGATTTTGCTAACATTTGTCAACATTTATTTAATTATAAAAATTCTATTTTTTGAATATGTATATAAGGTTTCAGTTTAACTATTCCATCTGGATATATTGATAATTTTAAGACATCATTTATTTTACCTTGTACAAATATTATTTCAGAAGTATGCGAACCTTGAATAGGTAAATAATTTTCAATAATAACTGTATTATTTAATACTAATTTTACTTTAAACGAATAACGTAAAGATTCACTAAAAAAATATAAAACTATTTTTAAATACATATTTGAAGATAATTTTAATGTATTGTCTAAAAGGTTTGAACTGAATAAATTAAAAACAACAGGCTTAAAACTTGCAGGAGTATATTCAACATATCTTTCTTTTACAGTTGCATAAAAATTTAAAGAATCTACATATTCTTTTGTTGCTGCATCTTTAGAAATGATAGGATTTGCAACATTTGTAATTCTTTCATTTCCAAAATTATACATACCATTTTTTTTAAGAGAAGGAACATATAAACCATTTTCATCTCTTACTAAAATATTATCAGTTTTTTTATCATTAATTTTTAATTTACTATCTACATAAAATTTATTTGCAGCATCCATATTAAAATTAGGAGCTTTAAGATTCGAAATTCTTTCGTTGTGTCCATTATAATGCCTATTTTTTACATCCCACAATATACAATAATATTCAATATGTTCTCTATTTACAACATCTGTTTTATTTACAGGAGCTTTTACGTTTGATATATTTTTATTTTTAGCATCAAAAAATAGTTCATTATGTGTTAGACATTTATCATCTACATATTGTTTATTTACAGCATGAGATTCTTCAATAGGAGATTTAACATTTTTTATAAATTTATCTTTAGCATTGAAAAATTCTTTATCATGAATCATACTCTTATCTGTTAAAGTTCGAATATTAATTTTCAATTTATCATAATTACTATCTACATAATTTTTAGTTGCTGAATCAGTTAAATCATCAGGATCTGCTACATTTTTTAAATGTTTTCTTTCCATATCATAATCCCCTGTATTTGTTAATTTAAATCCGATACCTGGAGGTCCAGGAGGTCCTTCATTTTTATCATCATGTAATTGATAATATGCAGCCATTTATTTATTCAAAGTTTTTATCATATTAATATCATTCGTTTCTAAATTCATCTTACATAATTTTCTTTCTTTCAAAATGAAATAAAATACATAGTCATGAGAAGTATTATTTCTTAATTTCCAATTAAATTAAATTTTTAAATTCTGTACGGTTGTATAATCTTCATGACGAGATAAGTTGAAACAAAAAATAGGATATAATTTTCCAAAATCATCATAATTTATCATACAACCTGTTTCTGAATTTATATCATTTAATCCTTCATTTAATAGAGCTGAATATATTCTATTGTATTCCTTTTTTTCAAAATCCATTTCATATCTTATAGATGGTACTGGTATATTATTTACAATTAACCAACATTCAATCATGTCCAAATTATCAAATTGGAAATTATTTTTCTTTATATTTTCACTTTTATTAATATATTGAGGAATGACATAAAGACTTAAAACTTCATCAGATGTAGAAGGTATAGTATTAGAACCACTCGAATGTTTATTAATTATATTTGATTTTATAATTCTATAGTTATTAAAATATATATCAATTATACTGTTAGATAATTTCAAATTATCAAAACTTACAGCTGCATTATTTTTAAATCTAACATAAGGAAGCCATAAAGATAAATCATCTACAACTACTTTATATTCTTTATTTTCGGTTGTAAATAACATATCTGAACTTTTATTCCTTTGAATTTCTATTTGAACTTTAAATCCAGTAATAACACGATTATAATCATTAAAAAAATCAAGTAAAT